GACGCTGTTGGAGGAAGCAGTCGGTTTTTTGGTTTTTTTATTTTTGCATTCAACTTCCCCGTGCCATTTACTTTACTTTGCCTTCATAAAGGAGCAGAAGTGGGTCTAAAATCCATGCCACTTTTTTGTTCCCTTTACGAGGCTGGTTTTTCTGAGTATCAGGACAACATGGCCTTCTCCTAAGTAGCTGGCTCACCTGGATCTGTTGGACATAGGGATTGCTAAAGGAGCCGTAGCTTCTTCTCTGCTTCAGCCAGTGGGCATTCAGAGCCAGGTCTGTGGTTTGCCTCAGCAGCCGTGCAGGCCTCCCTGCCCCGGCCTGTACTTTTAACCCATGGTGGCAGTGAATAGCTGTCTCCGTGCCTGTTGCAGCTGACGTCCACCACTGTTGGCCTCGTTGTTAGTTTGCGGTAGTGAGTCTCGAACACCCCAGTCAACCGTGAAGGAAGATGCTTTGGCCGACCTAGGACCTTGGATTCTCACCCCCACCATGGTTCATCTCACCCGGTGGAAAGGTTTGGCCACCAACATTATGCTGACCATGAGACCTTGTTTCTCCTTTCATACTCTGGTCCAAATGTGGACACTTCATTTTTCACTGAATTTGTCTCGCTTGAGTCAGGCCAGAATATCTGAATGAGTCCATCACATTCTGGATGGGGAACAAAACAGAAGTAAGTGTCACAAGTAGATGGAGTCTATGCTGTCCGGGTTGGCAAATGCAGGCTGGGATCTGTGATGGCCGGGCTGTGCCCTGGACACAGGCCTTTCCCGTGTCTCCCGAGAGCCCAGGGGTCGGATTGAGAAGCGCCTTTCCTGGGATCCTCCATCCTCATCTGCTCACTGGCAAGTGTGTCTGCTAAATAGGAGCTCCCCCAGACCTCGGGCCCTTCAAAGCTTAGACCACGGGAGAAACTTGAGTCCCTTCTTCTGGGCCTCTTTGTGAGAATCCAGTGCCTTCTGAGGTGACCAGTGGAAGGAGATGCCTACCCCTCCAGGGAGCACCCTACAGAGGACTGTTAGTCACTGTACAATGCTGTGAGCTAGTGGGGTTCCGGCCGTGGTCCCTGCAGAACCAGACTTGAGATAGGCTTAGCGATGGAAAAAATAAGACTGATTCTATGGCAGGGCTGGGGGGAGGGAACAGTGGAAATTGAATATGACCTCAAACACATAGGTGGGTGCTGGGGCTGTTACTCAAATGGGGAGCCTGGGAGGTACCTGCCAGGAATCGAATTCCAGAGTAAATGGTGGACATTTGGCATTTTTAAGATGCCATTTGTCATTCAAGTTAGGACTTCAAAGAGGCACTCGTGTCTATGAGACTGGGGCTCAGGTGAAGGAGCCGGACTAGAGATACACGTTGGTGTTACGGAAATGACAGGCCAGCCAAGAAACAAGCACCACTCGGAGGGTTGGAGTACTCAGATTTATTACGCCGGCGGGCTCAGAGGGGCTTCTGCTCTGAAGCTCTGAGCACCTCCAAGACGGGCACATGAGGTTTTATAGGGTTAATTTCAAGTATGGGCTATTAGCCAATAAGGCTCAAACAACAGAAATCAAGGAATCAGTACACTGAAGCTTATCAATTCGGAACAGATCATGTTACTGACACTTGTTGAGCTTGGATTTACTAGTTAGCTTGTTAGTCCAGTAAACTGACACTAAACTAGATTTATGAGTTAGCCCAGCAGAACTCAGATCAGTAATCCGACACTTGTTGCACTTAGATTTGTGACTTAGCTTGTTAGCCCAGCTGGGCTTTTTCTTCACATTCCCCCCTCTTGATGCTTTCACAACCCTTGTTGGAGTAAGCATCAACATTTACCTGTTGCAGGGGCTCATAATTGGAGGCTAACATCTGAAGTTTTATAGCCTCTATTTGTTTACTGACAAAGTGGGTCAGGAAGTTTAGGACATGGGGCCCAAATAGCAGAACTGCAAAAATCAGGAGTAAGGGACC